ACCCGTGAGGTTATTTGTACTTTTTGTATATATGTGTAGTGTTTCATATCAATTGGTGTTTTTTGGATTCATTGTGTTTACTCGTTGTTTTCGTACCTTGTTGTTATTGCGTAATTTTGTTAAAATTTTTATCGTGATTACTTCTGAAGTTGTTTCGAGTCTTCTACATTCGTGAATGAATTGATTGATGTTAGAGACAGCAGATGGGTCTTATACGCCTGGGAGGTTATTGCTGAGAATGCAATGCATACGAAGATAATTGTTAGCTGTGGTCCCACACGCCGGGGAGCAAGAGTGTAGACGACTGAGGCTCGCATACAACACCGTTACTAGAACTGAGGCAGAATGATTAACAAGTGATCGCAGTGGTAATTGGCAGGGGGTAGATAAGATGATGTGCGAAGAGTATCATGAGGTGGTGCTATGGTCACGTTGCCTTCTGCAAGAGTTATTCTAGTAGGTGGCGATTGTGTTGCAAGATGTCAAGAGGATACCTTTAATTCGAAGTTGTACCTCACCATCGATTTTTGAGATCAATTCATGGTTGTTTGCTCATTCCCAACTTCCTCAATTTTCGCTGAGGCATCAATCAGCATGTCATCGTCTCATTGGTCGCTCTTCAGAAAGAAGTCAGGAGAAAACTGTCAGAAATAACATTGTGATTTATTTTTGTAATATTCGTTTATAGATTTTAGTTGTATATTGGCTATTTGTTGGTGTTAGAATAAATAATTGTCGAGTCACTAATCGGTGTTCTGGCTTTAGCGTCCGTTCATACTAAGGGTTTCTGTGAAGCTTCGATGAACAGCGTGAGTCCCAGCGCAGCAAGAGCTGGGCATTAACGGTTTATGAGACGTGGCTGACAGCTCGTCTGCGTACTTCATATTTTCCCTCATCATGAATGAACCCTAGATCAAGAGTTTATCAAGTCGATTAGGATATTTAACAATATTGACATGACCTAATGATAAAAGGAAAGAACAATCACAGGAATTGAATTCCCCAGTGACAACTGATAAAGAGTTTTCAAGATGTGTAACGGCGAATCCAGTGAATTCATCAGCAAAATCAGATAGATCCGAGGCAGAACAGCCAGGAGTAACACAAATGTTTGAGATGAAGACATATTTAAACTTGGATAAGTTTTTCGGACGGCATTTGAATGTCATACAATGAATAAAGTCACTAGAGTAAAAAAACATACATTATTTGAAGTTGACCATTGAGAATAAATGAAATTTGCAACACCTCCACCTCTTTTCTTTCTGGAGCATAGTCGATCTTGTCTGAACAATGAAAACCATTTAGGGAAACCGGATTGTCATGATATAGTTTATGCGATTTGTGATCATATTCTATTAAAATTAAGAATGAAAACATGACGTATTAGATGCAATATGTAGACGCACGAAAAGGTAGCCCAGGTGTCAAACAGGCCGCCGAATAGGAAACGATTTAAGCCATTATGATAGTGGATCACGTATTCCCAAGTAGTTCAGTTTATGTATTAGCAGCAAATGCTGAATATTCGGTCAAATGCCTCAGAAATGTAAGAGTAGATGACGAGTACTAGTTGTCATCTGTTACGACTGCTGGTCACAAAATTGAAGAAGTCTAGGTGGCACGTTAAACAAGATCTGGATTTTAGGAATGCATGTTGGTTTGGACTTATGATATTGCAGCTAAACATATGCTTGGGTACGTTATCTTTACATAGTCTCTCCGTAATTCTAGATGCTATAGGTGTGATATTGATCGGCCGGTAGTTACTGACTTCTGTTTTCGAGCCAGATTTGTGTCTAGGCATAATAAATGTTGTTCACCATATATCAGGGTTAGTTTCGGTTTCTTAGGACATTGTGAAGATTTTAAGCAGTAGTAATGGAATGTCAGGGCCACCATATTTATAAAATTAGGATGACATACCGATAGTACTAAAACTTTTTGAGCTTTCGAGGGTTCTGATAGTTTGATTAATGTAAGCATAATTGAATTCAACAGTACTAATTTGTTTAAATGTGAGTAGATATGGAGTTTTTGCCTATTAGTAGCAGGGTATATATCAAGTAACGGAAGTGAGACCTTAAGGTAGTTACATGTAGACGTTTTGTTGAATAGTTTACACATCTCTGCAGAATCATTGCATAGCCCATCTTTGTCTATGAGGAGAGAAATGTTGTGATTTTTGCGGTTCATACATTTGCGGTGCATACGCTCTAGCAGGACTGGCTACTGCTGGGTTTTCTTCGTTTCTCCCACGCAAATCTCGAGCTTGTTAGATGAAGCTAAGTGTGTTCAGTATTAAACCTAGAGTGCCAAAGTCGTGGTTTTTGAAGCAACTTGTCGATAGTCTCTTCAGTTTTGTACGATCCTTTGGTTTTATAAACGTTCTTCAGTGTGGGGAAACCTTTAGTGTTTGGAGTGGAATGACGGCGTCTAAGCACGTGTTTAAGTTATGGTAGAGGATGCTCAGAAATCTCGAGAGGCCATCAGTAAAGAGGAAATCGCTCCTTTTAGAGGATCTCAGCAGTGATTCCACGAAAGCCAAATCTGCCTTACTATAGTTCTTATATATGACTTGTTGTGAAGTGGAGGTATGAGCTGCATTTCTACTCAGTGGAAGTGACAGTGCACACATCACCGTTTTGTGGTCAATACCTGAAGACTTAGAACCCACTAAGACTAAGAAGGGGCTTTTATTGTGACAAAATATTGAGTCCAGTACGTTGTCACCTCTTGTAGGGATAGCAACAGTTTTTCTTCAGCCTGGAATGTCCAGTGTACCTAAGAGCTTATCATATCAAGTTGGGCCTGATAATAAATCCCGGATGATTTCGGTTAGGTTGAAGTCTCCACATATGATTTTGTCCCCAGGAAGTGAAGGCATCCTTTAGTGGTTTCTAAGCAATATATCGAAGCCGTATATGTTCCACCAAGTAAGCTGTCTAAGGATCAATGGATATTTGGTGCACCTTCCAGTATTTTATCTTGTTTTAACTTGTCCACGTAGTGACAGGCTTGAACTATATTTTGTTCTCTTCACCTGTACAGTTAACACATTTACAGGGTTGGGAACTCGGATTTACCAGTTAGATAAGTTCTAAATCCTTTTTCTTGAACAATCTTGATTCTTTATTTTACTCAAATGAAATGCTCATTAGAGCGCCTTACAAATTGACTTAGTCTTTTCAATTTGATTTTCGTCGTCTGTGCTTAAAAGCCAGGCAGAGATCCGATCTATTGGAAAACTCGGTAAATCACGTATATTGAGTGCCGATGTAGCGTAGCGCCATCAGTACCAGACAGGCGTATGTTATTTGTCGATGGAAAAAACGTGCGACCCCACCACCTTTTTTAAAGGAAGGGGATTGGCGAAGCCCTAATCGTGACATACAGCCCCTATCGATGTCGTTGAAGATTGAACGATCAATTCATGGTTGTTTGCTCAAACCCAACTTCTCTATATTTTCGCGGAGGCATCAATACACCAGTCATTGTCTCATCGGTCGCTGTTCAGAAGAAAGATTAAAAACTGTCGGAAACCACACTCTTTAAAAGCAGTATTGCCGGTTATATGTTGGCGTGAGAATAAAGAATTCTCGAGTCGCCAAACAGTGTTTTGGTTTTTGAGTCGGTTAATACTAAGCGTTTCCGAAAATCTTCGAGGGACAGTGTGAGGCCCAGCGTAGCAAGAGCTGGTCGTTAACGGTTTATGAGACTTTACTTACAGCCAGTGTCAGAATATAATATGTGGTGGGGTGCCGACTGGGTGACCCAATCTGGGAGCGTCCCACACGGAGCCAAACGAGGATTCAGAAATTACATGTCCTGCAACACTTAATTTGTTAGAATCTTGGGATGTTGGAACGACTGGCTGCAGTTACAGCACTCCATTCCGCGTCTTGTACTTGTAACAATCCCATACACTACCAGCACAAACTTGAGGCTACATTGAAAGGAGGAATTCTGGTATGAAGAAAAACTAAGTAACTACTAAATGCTTTTCTTGATCATCATGAATGGACTCCCTGACAAATTGCGCCCACCCTCATTTTTATGCTCGTATGATGTAATGCCATATATAGCCACAAAAAGTTCGGGGATCAGATAGAGCTCCAGAAAGAGCTGACCAAATTGAGAGACTAGGCCACCGAAAATAGGTCGCGTTTCGACACTGACTAGCGTCGGGTTATTATCATCCGTAAACCAGAAAAACCATTTCCACACTGCTTATGTTGGACTGATCTATCCAAAGAAGGGTGATCTCGGGCTACTCTAGATATATGGAATAGATACATGTGCTAAATGCGTTGAAGACTCGAAAAACGTTGGACACAAAACATTTAAGACTTTCAGAGGGCGTAAAGCTGGATGGAGATGCATATTCCGCACCACATAGGGGAGTCCGAAAGCTATAAGAACTTTTCTTTCGTCACTCATACACTATAAAGGTATAGACACCAGTGAAAAGTGCACCATGATCATTCCACTGAATAAGAAACTTACCAGAATCTTTCAGCAACAAAGATAATTGAAGCAAGTACTTCAGTGACGCATCAAATCACTCCGTGTTCTTAAAGCGCTGAAAAGGTAGCGTCAGGTGCTGCTCAACTAACTTTTGGGAGCTAAGCGTGAAACAGCATGAATTCATATGTGAAGAAACGCATTTCTAAGGCAAGATTCAAGATAAAAGGCGAAGCGTCTTTCCGAATGGCTAGTTTCTAAAGCAATCTAGACACCTAAAAATATTTAGTTTTGTAGCCCTAAATGACATCTGCAGTACAATGAGTACGGAAAAGAATGAATAATCCTTCGATTCTAGACAGTGACTGGAGAATCGCTGGTTTTTCCGCACAAAGAGCTTTCCTGGAGTTGTTATTACGTGGCTTAAGTGATTTAGTCTATCACTTCTAGTGGACGGGGTTTATTACCTGAACCTCCAAACTTTGTTTTATTCAGTCAGTTTCGAAGGACATACAACACGCAAAATATTAATCTAAATGGAAGATGGGGTGTTTTGTGAGTTTCTGCCAACTTGTCATGCATTTTCTGCACTTCAGATGACTCGAAACAAAATATGGAAAGAATCAGCGAGGTTGAACGGCTTTTCGGGTTCCCATCCAATGTACACTTGGTTTGCATAAAGAGACTAATTTCTAGAAACTGGTAACTACAAATCGTGTATTGGTAGGAGAGGGTGTTCTTACTAAGATATGCAGGAGGAAGCCCAAACTAAGACACTTTTTCTTGTTTAATGATGTCCTGATTTATGGAAGAATTGTTGTGAACAGAAAAGTCGTAAGTTTTGGAGTTGAGTTAATCTGGAATCTTTCAGCTTCGCAATCCTCAGTTTATTGACCTTGCGGATGTCTCTGTGAAGAACGTTTTGGACAACGGCAGTAGGTCAAGTTTACTCCTAATTCTCTTTAGTCTACCGAAACGGATTTTCAATCCTTAGTCCTAGAAAGTCTTTCACTGTTTACGCAAGTACATCTGAAGAAAAAGCTCAGTGGGTAGTTCATTTGAGGAAGTGCATTTCGAATTCCCTCCATTCCAGTTAGTTTATTTTTTGTGTTCATTTACTAATGGCTTTGTTAATGCAGTGTTATCGAGATTCTGAATTTAGTTTTTATATAGGTAGTGTATTTGTTAGTAATATACTTTTTTACCGACATTTTTTATTAAATTTGGCGGATGTTATTTGCTTTCTGAAAATTAATTCTTATTTCTTGGGAGCTATTGGGATATTATGTTTTCCAGCTGCATCTCCTTGAGCTATAATGAGATATTTCTGTTGGTTTATGCTTCTCGTGATATATTTAATATGTGAGGACACTGTAAATATGTGTCATGAATCAGTTAGTGATCGATGGAACAGTTGGACAACGCATTGGTATTTCAACTTGTATTGTTATCTTCGATCGAAAATCCTGATTTTTGACGTGCACACCAGTGAAAAGTTGTTGACAGACTTAGTGGGTATACTAACATTCAGACTTTGATTCGGCAGATTCACACAGGTAGTGCACATTTCCTGTTAGGGTGAAGAAGTGAAATATGTCCATCGAAACCTCACTGAATCCGCGAATTCCATTGGATCCCTCGAGATTCGCTTCTACTTTGCTCTTCTCATAGGTTTAGAAGTCTCTGCTAATCGTCGCGCTGCAGGAGGAAGGATGGCCCGAACATTGCTAAGATTTGATGCAGGCGTGACTCCTCCTTTAGAATTTCAGTAAGCTAGATAAGCGTGGTGTTAAGCCTGACGGTTGAACCATGTCATAAGTCTGTGTGCCACTGACTGGACCTTGTTCCATTCTTGAAGGTCTTTTGTCAACTGCTTCAGGGTTTGTGCATTGTTGGGTTGTTTTGTTAGCTTTTCTTTAACAATTTTTTTCACTTAGCCTTGATTCTGTCTCTTCCATGTTCAAAACTCATTCTGTTAAGTCCTGTATTTATGGTGGTGTAAGTAAAGGAGCAACTTTTTGTGCTTTCTGCATCAAATTGTAGGGACTTGACTTGATTGGAAAACTGTCAATATGAACAACGATGTTTACTGCACTTCAGTTTTAGTAGGAACGCAGATGTAGCATAAGATTAATACGTGCTGTTTGTAGGCTTTATGTGTGTTTTGTGTTTGTGCTTGTTTCCCATTAGAATCTACTATGAAGTACGACCAAACAATATCTAGTTTATTGCATTTTAGTGGATACTTTTCTAGTTAAATATTAGTAAATATTATTTAGTAAACTATATTTGTATTTTTCTTCAATAATTTCTATTTTTGTAAAGCTAAGCAGTCTGATTCAATCAAAAAATCACCGATTTGGATTCCAGATTCAGAAGCATCACATTGTATGGTATGTGGTACTACGGAATTCAACTTGGTTCATCGTCGGGTAAGTTGTTCAATACTTTGAAGATAATTTAGTTTTCTATGTTTTGTTTGTTTTCCTGTGTTTTCTTCTTTTCGGCTGAGTTTGTCAGAGTCCATCGATCAGAAAATGTAGTTGTTATCTTTCCATGCTGATCGGACTTAGTTTTTTTGTGATGACCTGTATTATGCTAACCAGAATGCTTATTCCCTAGGCTCCCGCTATATAACGTTTTTAAGGGACTGATTCCCATCAACTCTTAGTTCAAAGATAGGGATTGAAATATTCTAATGCGTTGACAAACTGGTCGAAGAACCAGCAAAGACAGGACTCCAAGTGGACAAAGACAAGACGGAGGTTATGGAAATAACCAACCAATCAACAACAACAACAGCAACATCCAGCGCCAATCACCATCAACGCGAGGGATTTGAAAGAGGATACTTCATTCACTCACTTATCTAGCTTCGAGCATTGTCTCAACTAGAGGGAGTCGGAACGGACGAGGATGTCAAATCGAGCGAGAATCGGGAAGGCGAGCGAGAAACACATTCATCAACCTGACTGAAACCAATCTGGAAATCTTCGTCACTCAGCCAGCATCAACAACAAAATTCGGTCAGATTTTCAATACAAACAGCGTCAAGTCAGTCACTTCTTCTATACGGATCAGAAACTTGGCGGTCGGGTCACAAAAAATATTTCCAACAGGCTATTGCAGACCTTCATCAACAACTAACCGTCTTCGCTGGATCTATACTGAAGATCAGATGATCGGGCCGGAAAGAATCACCAACAAGAAACTATGGGCACAAACAAACAAAACAAGAACAAACCAATCGCCAACCAACAGATATGCAGGAGAAAGTGGAGATGGATAGATTGGACACTCACTCACCGAGGAGGCCGCTGGGTGACATCGCGCGCGCGTCAGGCCATTTCTCGAGTGGAACCAGGCCGAAAGGTAAGCAGGCAGCGAGTGGGACGTCAGTGCAAGGGTGACATGAAGGAGATTGTGTGAAGATGAGTTGAAACATTATGGACTAACATGGATGGATGCAGGTGAAAAGTACAGCAGAAGACAGAAGCAATTGGAGACGTGCAGTTGAAGCCCTATGTTCCACTGGGAACCCAAGGGAACAATAATAATAACAATAATAATATGTTGACTGAGACGAGACCCTTGAAATGGTGTACCACGAAGAATATTTGTATCCTGTTTTAGATAATAATGTCACAAAGTATTACTTATCGTCTCAACAAACGTTTATTTGATTGCATGCATACCAGAGTGGAATCACGTCTTTGGAACTTGAGTTTTTCCCTTAACCAGCTTTTGTTTTATCACTCGAGTAGTATGATCTTGTGAATAATATTTGGAATGAAATTGTAATCGTGTCTATTGCAAGTGTTCGATGTTGATTGGGTGAAGAAAGTTTTATGTTATCAGTCTTCTTTCTTTAAACACATCTTTATCTCGTCGTGTTGTCTAATTTGCCTGACTGCGTATATTGCTACTGTTGAGTTTTTCTGCAGACTTTTTTTTTGTCATTTTAGGGTCTCCTATTTAGAAGACAATTGCATCGAAGAAAATTTTCTTTTCGACGAAGTCATCATCTAGGCCGTACATTCGTGTATTTGTATCAAATGGATGGGAAACTTCCAGAATAAATTTCCGGTTAAGGGTCAAATTAATAAAAATTAGGAATTAGAATGCCATAATAAACAGGTGGACGGATAAAACTCAAAGTAGTATCATAATAACTAAGAAGATTGACATTGTGCAAGTGGGAGTTAGAAATGTAGAAATAACAAAATAGACAGGATGTTGGGATAAAAAAACTAACGTGATTAATAATTGTTTATGCAATCAGGGATTAAATATGTGGAAATAGTAGAATGACAAAATAAACACGATGTTTGGGTATGAAAATATGGTTGTGTAAACAGGGATTAAGAAAACTTAAAAATAGCATGGATAAACAGGAAGTTTAGATAAGAAAGGCAATGGGATGGTCATTACTAAAAAAATTTACCTGTTTATGATGGCCATGGCAGGGACACGGGTTGGACGTATTTCTTTTGGATACAAAGCGTGGGTTTGAGCTTTTGGATAGCTAGCGCCTCGGCTGTGCCCAGATGTCTTGATTTCACTCCCTTTGATAGGTTTGACTGAATCTTGTATATTACTTTGAAGGATTATTCAAAAGGCGCTGAATGTCTTGAATTTACCAGATGTTCTGTCACTGAACTGTATACGCGCTTTTGGTCTCCTTTTACTAACCAGGCTGGATAGTGTTCACGAGCGCGTTTTTAAAGTCGGCGCATGGGCTCCTATTTGTAGGTTCAGTTGAGTTTATGTGTGTTCTGACAACTGAATTGACCTGAACTTGACTACTTAAAACTCTCTCTCTCTCCATATATATATATATATATATATATATATATATATATATATATATGACCTTTGCACTCATTGTAATGGATTCAAAAGATCAAATTATGCTTTCGATTAGAATCAGTAAGAGCTTCTAACTGACTGAGTTTGTAGCCTTACGTATAAGTTCTGCCGGCAATTCCGTTTAACTTTTATGATCCACCTTTGTCTTACGGTATTTATAGGAATAATTCAAGTTCTTTCCTCGGAACCACTATTATTTATATTATTTGTGCCTATATTACGTTAACTATATAACGTTACGTTAACCTATATAACGTTAACTAAAATAATAAATAATTCTGTCTGTCTGACAGAATTACTACCTTAGTTCGCCTACAACTTCCAGGAGTTTGTAAATAGATCGCCTGGGTTATTTACTGAACTATATTATTTTCTTTTTTATTTGTGGCGTTTCTAGTTACCAGTGTATTTTGTGTCATTGTTACGTAGGCAGACATAGTGTGAGATGTTAATATGTGTAAAACTTGGGCACTGTGGTAGTAAGCAATTCCATGTTAGTTTGTCTATTAGATGTATCACACAGTGAAACAGTAATATTTACTGCATGACGCTTCGAACGAAATTAATTGTTTATAATCATATCAATTGTAATCACACAACTTTGACACTTGAGTTTTATAGTTTTCTTTGTTTTCTCCTATTTGTCGTAGGGGTAGTAAAACTTTCTAGGTATGAGGGACAGAAACCTGATTTGGAAACCTTACGCAGAATTCTTAACAAGGCTGGAATAAAAGTGACTGGAATTCAAACCAACAAACTCAATTAGAAACAAGCTTTGTAGGCTAAAGGATCAATCCTGTGGAGCCTTTGAAACAAACATTTTAGTTTATCTAATACCCTGCCTGCTGGAATGATTGTCAGATCAAATACATATGCCAAACTAGTAGAACAGGGGCAGTCAGTCAGACTAGCCGAATATAAAAACCTAGCAAAATCTAGATTGGTTGACTCAAATAAGATAAGAAATCTAGAGAATAGTTCAGCCATAGATAGCACTACATGCAGTTACACACAAACATACAATAGGCTGGATGGGATAAGATGACGACTTTTAAATCTAATGTAAGAGCTTGGTGGAGGGAGAGATTGATGGCAGCGGAAGCTTTGTTTATCGAATCAACTGAAAGTGAATACGTGTAATAGGAATGAATCAACACCTTTCCAGGCGGATATCTGGGAAATTCTACTACCCCAAGGACGACAAATAGAGAACAAAGAAAACTATAAAACTCAAGTTTCGAAGTCGTGTGATTATAATTGATATGATTATGAAGCACAATAAATTTTGTTCGAAACCTTGTCACGCAGTAAATACTAATACTGTTTCACTGTGTGATAAATCCATTTCATAAACAAACTAATATGGAATTACTACCACAATGCCCAAGTTTTACACATATATCCCTGCTTCTGAATTTCCATTGGCATGTAATTATTTGCTATATTCCCAAACAGTACTTATGATACAGTGTGGAATTGTCAGCATTTGGTACAATATTGCATCTAATTGGCTGGACAACAGCAAAAGCAGTAACAAACAAATAATATTACAAGGTATGGGTAACCATGATTGATAATAGAAGCTTCTTGTTATTTGCAGTGGCCATAAAGTCAAAAATATACAAAAAGTGTAAAGTAATGATGATAACGATAATAATGTTAACAGTTAAAATTACAAGTTAATTGAAATAGATTACAAATTGGAGAGGATCAGAAAAGAGCCAATTATTTGCTGATAGCTTAGTAAGTCGTAGTTTTCGTACTTAATAACACTATCTCTATCACACGGAACGCGGGCTCAATAGCGTATCGTTGAGCTTTTGTACTCAGTTGTGTAGGCTGGCATATACTCCTTTATAATGACTTCTGCTCCTGCCTGATGAGATGGAAGGCGAGAGTTAAGAGTAGAGAGGGAATGTTGAGAGTCAGACAATATGGATTTGGTCTGTCGACTACAGTGGTAAGGAGCTGACTTATTCGCACACCATATACTCTACTGACAACCTATAGCACCCATCACAATAGGACACAGGGATTTTTGATTAGCCCAGTGAGAAAGACTATTATTATTTTTTATTATTGCTCCCTTGGGTTCCTAGTGTAACATAGGGCTTCAACTCCACGTCTCCACTTGCCACTTCTGTCTTCTGCTGTACTTTTCACCCATATCCGTGTTAGTCCATACTGTTTCAGCCAACTCCTCTTCACACGATCTCTTCCATGTCACCCCTACACTGACGTCCCACTCGCCACGTGCTTCCCTTTCGGCCTGGTTCCACTCGAGAAATGGCCTGACGCGCGCGCGATGTCACCCAGCGGCCTCCTCACCGAGTCTCCAATCTATCCATCTCCACTTTCTCCTGCATATCTGTTGGTTGGCGATTGGTTTGTTCTTGTTTTGTTTGTTTGTTCCCATAGTTTCTTGTTGGTGATTCTTTCCGGCCATCTGATCTTCAGTATAGAGCGAAGACAGTTGTTGATAATGGTCTGCAGCCTTTTGGAAATATTCTTTGTGACCCACCAAGTTTCTGATCCATATAGAAGAACTGACTGACTTAACGTT